CATTTCATACATACGTCAATGTGTACTATATAAAAAATTCATTTTGGACCCATAGTTATGAACTGGGGGTAAGTTTTATATTAACTTGTTGATTACAATTTATAGATTTAATTTTTCAGGTGATGTTGTTTGGACATAGAGATGATTATACAGCTGACAAGATCATGAAAGTGACTGTGGTTTATAACCATTTTGGTCCTGGATTAATACAAAGGCTGCCGAGGTTAATTAAGGCAAATTATGATTACAATCTTATTTTCATAATTTTAGATTAAATTGTGATTATAAATTTTGAAATATTGTCCGTGGTTGAGCAGGGTTAGATTTGGGTACGCCCATGTAGCTAACAATAGGTATGACGAATGGCTGATGTATGCAATTGGAGGGAGTGCAGACCCAACGATACTTAGCGAGGGCAATTATTTTGTGGCACCCAATCAGGATTATGCAAAGGAGGTAATTATTGGCTTATTTAAATCAAATAAATATTTTCATGAATAAAAAAAAATATGTGATTTTTTTAAAGGATACTCTTGAGTTTAAAAATATGCAATTTTGATTTTTAAACACTACTTGTGATTTTAAGAATTTTCGTGTAATCATTTGATATTTTAAAAAGTCTTAACAAATCATAAGTCACTAGGTATTCATTTGAAATTTAAAAAAGTACTAAAAAATTATGAGATATTCAATTTATTTAACTCTTTGATTTGATTGGACTTTTTGAGATTTCAAATACAAATTTACATTAACGTAATCTTACACCAAATTTCAACTACAAGCTGAGATTTCTAATGAGTTTATTTAAATCGAAAAATATTAAAAATTCGAAAAAAAATCCCGGATATTAGAAAGTGTTAAAATGTAATTCAAAAATCTGAAAAAAATACACCCTTGTAAGTAGCATCCTTATTAAGACTTCAAAAATCCTATAATAGAAACAAATGTTAACAAATTGAATACACCTATAATTAAATTTAGTGAGAGTGAACTTTCTCCAATTAAAAAAGAAAAGTACTGTATACATCACTAAATTTCTTCCCATCATTTTATTTCATCTGGTAACTACCTAAGACTCAGTATTTTCAATTTTAATTCTTGACTAAATTGGCCTAGAAAAGTGGGATAATTCATTATTATTATTATTATTATTATTATTATTATTATTATTATTATTATTATTGGGACAGGTTACGAAACGGGAGACTAACCATGGTTGGAGGAGCTGGAAATGGAGATCAACTAAAGACGTGTTTGTAAATGGCGCTTTCTTTGTGCCGTCAGGTTGGGGAAGTTGTGCCCCTAATTACTTGAAATCGCAATTGTTTGAGGCTGCCCAAGGATCTTTGGTCCCAGCCTTAACATCTGATTCTGGCCCTCTAATTTGTATGCCTTATAAAAAATGTTGAATTGAATTTTATTTTATTCTATTTTTAGTGTGTGTGTTTCAATTTTTTGTGAATTTTTTGTGCACATTATTAGATTTCTTATTTTCTACTAATTGGTAATGATATGGGAATTTGCTAATGTAAGAGGTATCATTTCCTTTTCCCTCTTTTAGTTGTTTTCATATATTTTTTTTTTTAACAAAACAAAATATTTCTTCAGCAAAATGGAAAGATTATAGTTCACAACGTAAAGAAAAGTATGACGTTTCTAAATATACGTATGTATTTCTATTAAAAGAATTACGATGCGCCGACATGCTTAATTGTGAGTTTATTTTATAAAAGAGTTTGTATAGTGAAAAAATACAGAGTGCCAATTTAAAGTGGATGTCAAACTCATTTATGCTATGAAGTCTGGATGATCAAACGTTATTGTAAGGGATGAAAAATCACTCCAACTTTCCAAGGTGTTTGAAACTTTTAGGGACATTTTAAAGTCTTTTAAAATTATATTGTTTAGGATTTATTAAGACTTCTAGATTTAAGTGAAATTCTTTGAAATGTTATGATTGGAGGCGAGACTTGATTTGAGATTTCGTAAGTGTATTTTTTCTTAAAAATTTCAAAAAGTATCAACAAGTCCAGACGAATACAAGCTCTAAATAAATTAAATATCTGATGACATTTTGATATTTTTTAAAATACCAAATAAATATCTCCTGATTTTTTTAGAAACTTTAAGAAATCTCAAACAAATACACTGAAAAACATCAAGAAGTAGTAAAAAAAATAGAAATTAATATGCCCCTTAAACTGATTATCAAAATTATTAAAATTAATGCTATATGAATGTTGAATGGTTAAAATATTTTTAATAATTTTATAATAAGAAATTCGAAAATGAAGGAAAAATTTTTGGGTATGTGTTTGTGGATACTGCTCAATTTAGACGTATATAGATTTGATGCATGACATATTGTATTAATATACTACAAGTTCATATAGCAAAAATATTTTATATGGCATAAATAATTGTAATACTAATACCATTTTAATTACATATTTACACAGCAGGAAGAAACTCGTCGTGAGAAAATTGAACCACAGTTGGGCCTGAGCCCATTACCAGTTAAACGTTTTAACGGCTGAAAGAGATGATGGGCCTAGAATAAAAAAAATGTCGATGCGAATGTGTAAATCTATTGTCCAGCAATACTTGATACCCCGTACTATATAATAGAACATTTGATATTTTGAAATATAATCAAATAATAACTGATGCTGACGAGATCGCATTAGCATATCTCGATGATCGACTCGTCTCATTAGTATGAATGTTATGTTTTTTCATTTATTATTATTATTATTATTATTATTATTATTATTATTATTATTATTATTATTATTATTATTTATATCTATGTTGTATTGGGTGACAGAAACTGGGGGAAAATTGGTGCTGACCCACTACCATGAAGGACACCATGAAAGAAGGGAAAAACTCATATGAAGCCCAAATGGGGTTCCATCCCAAAACCAATTGGTGGAAGGAGGAGTAGCCCATTAGTCTTATAAGGTGGGTCTATTTTCCACAAGTGATATTCTAATACGCCCCCTCACTTGTGAGTCATTCGAAAGCCCAAGCCCAACTGGGCTGGGTGCCCCAAGCCCTTCGAAAGCCCAAGCCCAACTGGGCTGGGTGCCCCAAGCCCTACTACAAACAGGCTCCCATAAACGGGTACGTGGGGGATAAACAATGGGTACGTCATCACACGGTTCAAGATAGAACCGGCTCTGATACCATGACAGAAACTGAGGGAAAATTGGTGTTGTCCCACTACCATGAAAGACACCATGAAAGAAGGGAAAAATCCATATGAAGCCCAAATAGGGTTCCATCCCAAAACCAATTGGTGGAAGGAGGAGTAGCCCATTAGTCTTATAAGGTGGGTCTATTTTCCATATATGAACGATGTGGGACAACTCACAAGTGATATTCTAATACCATGATATTTTCCATATATGAACGATGTGGGACAACTCACAAGTGATATTCTAATACCATGACAGTGGGACAACAGTGGGACAACTCACAAGTGACAACTCACAAGTGATATTCTAATACCATGACAGAAACTGGGGGAAATGAGTGCTGACCCACTACCATGAAGGACACCATGAAAGAAGGGAAAAACCCATATGAAGCTCAAATGGGGTTCCATCCCAAAACCAATTGGTGGAAGGAGGAGTAGCCCATTAGTCTTATAAGGTGAGTTTATTTTTCATATATGAACGATGTGGGACAACTCACAAGTGATATTCTAATATTGAATTTGTTGGGTTTATATTTTTGTTGTATTGGATTTGTTGTATTTTGGGCTTTTTAAGTCTATGTAGGATTGGATATTATAAGTAACCGTAGAAACTTGTAGGCAAGACAGTTATTATCAGATTATTGAACGAAAATTATCGTGTTCTTCGTGAAACTTCTCTGTACACATTCATCCATCACAGTTTCTGCTGCATCAATAACCCTATATAAACATATGTCAAATGAAATTAAATTTCCACTAGAAATCATCTCATCATTTTGCTTCAGTAACTTTCAAATTCACGCATGTATAAGAACAAACCAAAAGAACAAAAAATAAAAATAAAAAAGAAAAAGAAAAAGAAAGAAAGTCCAAAAATATGATCGAGTTTAGCATCAACATAATTAAGCATATCAACAACTAAAAACTCTCTATTGTCACAAAATTAAGTGCTGATTTACTGCAAATCTAAACTACAATTTATCTTTTATTTAAATATTTTTGCTCGTTTTCCTCGTTGGTGGTTTTTTTATCACTTTGTTTGAAATATTCTTTAAGGTTGTTTACAAGTAGCATTACAATAATTTTTACTTTGAAAAACTTGTCTAACAACAGTTGTACTCTGAGCTTCTAAACAAAATAGTCACTCTTAAGCCTGACCTAGCTTGTTAAACAAGCCGAACTCGAATTCGTTTAATTCTCGTTCAATTAACAAGCTGAGAAAGCTCGTTGGGCTTGAAAAATGAGTTTTGACGCAATTTCCTGAACTTTCATCATATATATCAACTCGTTATAGCTAGAGCTCGACTTGTTAATAAGTCGAGTTCGATTTATTGGCTCAGCTCGTCTCAATAATTGCTCGAGTATCAAGAATTCGACATCGACCCTCTTTCGTTTACAACTCTACTCATCCTAGTAACAAAGAGAAGATAGTATTTTTCTTAAAATTTTATTTCCTTCCAATTTCAAATCACGCAGATTTCTCATCTCTATAGTTTTTTTTCCTCTTTGTTCCCCTTGTTTTGGGGATAAAATCAAAAATAATTTTGTTTGAGAGGGACTTGCAATTAAATTTATGTGAACCCTAGAAATTCAACTTCATAGCTTTGCATTCAGATGCCCACGGGTGCCAATTCGGGTCACTTTCAGGTTCAAGGTTTTATAAAGTCTCACCATAGATAATTTAGTAAATAATAATTATTTTATAGTCTTGTCACAAATTGTCATACTTAAGTCACACCTGTAAAATATCGTGCCCGACTTAAGACTTTTTGGATGCCCTTTTGGATTAATTATTTGTATCAACATATTTTTATCACTATTTTAGTAAAACAAGTAACCTTTGCTCAACTTTACTTTTGACAAGAAAACAATTTTGTTTGTCAAACTTAATTTAATATTAAGTTGTTAGTTGCTTATACTAATTACTGCATTACCACTACATTAATCTTAAGCTGTCTTGTAATGACTTCCATACAATCTTGCTGTTGGAATTCGAAGAATTAATTGAAAATTAAGTAGTAATATTGAGTCATTTTATGAACCTAATTTGTCTAATTTCAGAATATTAAGGAATACCAATTTGTCTCTTCAAAGTTCTAAAGACTGGTTCATCCTTAAACCAAATACAATTAATTTAATATTCAATTAGTCTTCTATGAGGTTGGTTTGACTTAAATTTTCCACAAATATACATACTTTCATTAGAAAATGTTATATTTTATTAAAAGACAACAAATAAAAGTATGAAATTTAATATATAACGCATATTTATATAAAGAGTATGACGATCAAAGAACTAATTAACAGTTAAAGAGCTTATATTTAGTATAATGTCAATATACTTATTGTATAAAAATACATATTTATGCTATGGATTGTATATAAAGTAGTTTATCGTATTTTTTAAATATGTTAAAAATGTTGAAAAAGTAACCTTGGTGAGTAGAAAAATGCTAGTTTAAACTATACCCCACTTTACCCATCTAAATATGGTATTACTCCCTCCATTTTGAAATATAAGGCGTATAAAGATTTCTCATTTTTTTTGAAATATAAGGCGCGCTCAAAAATCAAGACAAATTTTTGCATTTTTCTCCAAATATACCCTCATTGTGTTGAAATTAAGGAAGTGTGGAGTGATTGTGATTAGAGTAAATAAGGCTAATTTAGTCAATTTATTCATTAATTAATGTCTCCTTAATATTTGTGCAATAACCTTAAATGCCTTATATTTCAAAATGGAGGGAGTACAAAATAAATAAATCAGAAAATTTTGTTAATTCCAATCCAAGCGGATATCATCACAAGTCACAAAAGATTGGAAGCGTTACATTAATAGCCATACCTTATCCCGAAATTGATTTAACTCTATTGGGTATTTATTATTTTCTTCTATTTTTATCAAATACCATGTAATTTCGTGCTCTTATAAACTCGTTATTAGTTGCACTGATTCATAAGCCAAAGAAGTCAGAAAATAGCATTAATTGGTTAGTTGTATTGATAGTGATTGTCCCATCTTTAATACTACTGTATTTTCCCTATCGAGGTCCCCAAAATCTCATATTCAGATCTTATTTGAATTTTTAATATATAGTTAGCAAGTGTCTGCATTAATTTTATTTATTTTTATTACTATACTTGATAAATATACGAAGGAGTTAGGTAGAGAAAATTAAATTCAAGTCAATGACTCGATCAATTGGA